AGAGGTCGAGTTGAGCAGCAGCCCATCATCAAGGTCGTTCCATGCTGCCATCCATACAGCACCTCGCCGCCCCATCGCATGCCAGTCTATTCGCCGCACCTTCATGCTCCCACGGCTCTTTGAACGCGACACAATCACTGTAGTGCCAGCAGTCCCAATCCCAAGATTCCTCCTCTCGCCACCACATGCCCATCCTCGCAGCACACATGGGCCATCACTCCCCCCTGCCACTACCCCTTGGGCCTTACCCCTTCTTACTCCCACCATGCACCTGCCTCCAAGACCCATCCCGCTATACTATGCCGGATTACTTCCATGCCACAGTGCAGAGGGGTGGAATGTGGTCCTGCACTCTACTTGGGGATGCAGTGCAGTTCCTGAAGTCAAAAGTGCTGCATGTTCGAATCCCAGGGTCTGCTTGGTGAGCAAGGTGAATGCATCACTCAATGCAGGTACAATGTGCACCTCGTTTGCTTTGAGCAAGCTTGCGTGTGATGCAAGTGATATGGATCAGCACTAGGTTGCTGTAGATGTCTGTAGGCCTGCTCTAGCTTATTAGTCTGCTTGCAAATCACGCATTTGGCATGCTTCACGGGTTTGAAAAGTGTACAGGACAAAACCTGTGAGATACTGTATCCAACGGCAAGGATAGAAAACAGGGCTACATTGGTTCAGCCGTGAGTAGGGTAGGGTGTTAAATTACGGTAGTTGCTTATTGACTGAAGGTTTCACACCCCTGATTGCACAATATATACACAACTGAAAAAGATCAAGTGAACAACCACTTGAACCCGCACAGAAGAATGACAAGCCATCAAAGCTAGGCCTCCAAACACACCTCACCCTGCCTCCGTTGGACACAGACCCAAAGCGTGCCCTGTGCGTGCCATTGACATCAAAACCCACCCCCCACCACCCCCCATCAGCTCCTCATGAGCCCCTCATCAGCCAACCAGCACTCAGTCATCTCGCCCACCATCCTCCCCAGCCTGCCCCTGCCCTGCAGTGTGCAGCTTGGGGTGTACCACGTCCCTCAACCGCGCAAAGTCCACTCCCTGGAAGCGCGGGCGCGACTCAATGTACCTCGCCCCGTACGCAAAGCCAAAGCCCCACCCCATGCCCAAACCCACGCCACAGCCACCGCCTGGCAGGGGAGAGGGAGGTTGGGGGGGTTACTCAGACAAACGGAACAGTTATGCTCACGGAGAGAAGATGGAGTGGCATGCAAGAAGTAGAAGAAGCATAGATAGGAAGCAATGTGATTTAGAATGTGAATTAGCTTGCACATAGAATAGACTTCAAGTCTCTTGGTGCGCAGCCAATAAACCAATAGCCAAAAAACAAGACTAGTCCTGCCAGTTTACAAGGGACCTCTTAGAAAGTGAGAAAACAACATACCGATTCCCATGCCCAGCGAGTTTATCGGCGCGCCTGTGATGGCAGATGAGGATACAACATGGCAAACACCAGAGTGAGCTCAAGGGTACAGCAGCTGTCTCACAAGCGCATGCTGGAACGAACCAATGACTCACATCATCAATAGCATGCACATCAATTGTCACATAGTGGAGCAAACAGGAAGAATGCAGTCACATAGCAATGCGCATTCGAAACGAGAGGGCAATGCATGGTACAGCTGGAAAAGGGAAGAAACTCAGAGTCGATGGTGAAACCAGAAACATAGAGTAGCACGGACACAGCTAGAGAAGTCAGGGCTGGGACTGCTTACCTCCAAACCCCCAACCAACGCCAAAGCCACATCCAGCACCAAATCCTGCCACACACACGCACACACACAAAGCGGAGGGGAAGGTGGGGAGGGGGCGAAGGGGGGTGAGGGGGGAGAGGAGGGAGAGAGAGGGGATGGATGGATGGATAAGTATGAATAAATAAATTACTGGATAGATGGAATGATAGATAAATATGCAAACAGAGGGATGGAAGTATGGAGGGAGAGAGAGAGGGTGGGGTATAATGGTGCCACGAAGGAGCGGGAGGCAGACAAGAGATGACGAATCCACGCAGCCAGTGTAAGGAGCCAGGGGCGTGGAAACGGCAAAAAGAACGCAGGTATGCTACATGTACCAAAAAGCGGAAGGAGGAAGAGGGCAGGCACGCACGCACGCAAGCAGATGGGTGAGCAGCAAGCGGGAAACAAGTGGAACTTGGACAAGTGGGGTGACAAGCGGGAGATTGGACAGATATACAGGCATAGAAGGTGAAGTTAGGGACTTGCGTGTGCAGGCAGTGGAGTGACAGGTAGAACAAAAATGAGAATTAGTCAGCATCTGGCGGCAAACATGCAAATCAGCATTAAGTAACGTACCGAATCCCACTCCCCGACCCCCAAACACTCCCATCGTCATGCTGACGACAATGGCGAACAATTACGGAGTCAAGTGGTTATGTTTCTGGCGACGTCGAGTTGCGGCGGAGCGTTATGTGGATGTGTACTACTCCCACTCAAGGACGAAACGCTGATGCGAGTGCCTTCAGCTGGTGCGCCTGTCTGAAGCTAAAAAATTCGCAGTTTCCGCGGACAGTCACATGCAGGCGGCCTTCGTACATGCAAGCGAATATTCTAAAATTTGTCGTTTCTGAAAAAAATGTCTCAAGGTTCGTCGGTATCAGGAAAGCATCCGTATCAGCTTTATGCTAATCAACCTTGGAATCGGGCATGTTGCTGCGCTGCTCAGCAGCATATGGAAAATCTTCAAACCTAGTCTTTCGCTATTTGAATTACCTACAAAGGTGTTGTTGGGGGTGCGCAACATTGACAAACCAGTTATGGCCAACATTGCGCAACATAGAGAAACTGCACAACAGCACACCGGTACATGGGATTGTCTATGTTGCCCACCCCCAACACCTTATGGACAGAGATTGCATTTTTCTTTAGGTCTTCAATTTTAGAGAATGAAAAAGAGTATAGACCATGCCCGCAATGAAATCGCAATTATTCGTATGGAACAAACAATCTTGACACAGTGCATGGCTGCTCAACCTTATTCACATTGCTGAGTAAGATATGGTGGCAGGCAACCATTCAACCAGTCTAGGTGACTGGCCTTATTAGAGATGTGGGGATGACGAATGGCAACTGCTCTGCGCCAACAACTGGTGAGTTGTTCAGCGCATTGAAGGTGGCAAGAGGGAGCACCATTCAGCTTTCATATCACCATCGCTGAGTGGGCCTGTTCCCACCTGGTATGGCTTGGCATGTTCCATCATCTCGCTTGAGAACAGAGACCTGGAGTGGCAAACAATGTTAAGATTGCAATCAGAAGACCGAAGAGGACATGCTGACAGACGTAGAGAAACTCACTTCTTGACACTGCCATGCTCCAAACTTTGCCATTTATCAGTCACTCCCTTTGGCGTGTATGTAGGGCTTGGGGTACCAGGAGACTGTGGAGATGATGGGGTCGTCGAATCAGCTATAGCTTTCATAGTGCCATGCCCCGTCTTGGCCTTGATACCACTGGCATGAAGCATCCTTTCGAATGACCCATCCTTCTCCAGCTTTGGCAGGGAATGCAGAGGCTGATCTTCTGGAACGGGAGTCAGGCCATCACGTATCGTAGAGTCGTCACACTCTTGGCACCCATCACCTTCTTCAACCACGCTCGGAAGCGCCTTGGACTTATTGCTGACAGAGCCAGCAACACAACCTGCTTGCACACCGGTGGCGACCCCAACTGCGGGAGCTTGCTTTTGAGGCGCCTTACTGTAGTAGACAGAATCTGGGCAGCTCTTCGCAAGCATGTTCTTCACTGGTACTGCTGGCACATGCGATGGATGGTGAACTGGATGCTTTGTTGACGTGTTAGCGGAGATCAATATAGGAGGACTAACAGCCTCAGTGGACGTGGGAAGATGCTTCAAGATCCAAGGGTGAGACAGAAGATCCTCAGCTGATGGTCGATGACGGGGGTCCTTCTGAAGAGTCTGCTCAAGGGGAGTATATGAGTTGAGCTCATCATAAAACAGGAAAATTGCATCCCTTTCCTACCTGCTTGATAAAATCCGCAAGCTCTGGTGAAACACGATGAGGCCAGACTCCAGCAATTGGAACGGCAGCTCTCTGAATCAAATCCTTGGTAAGGCTTCCATTCTTGCCAGCATTGAAGGGTGGCTCTCCTGTTACGACCTCATACGCCAACACGCCACATGCCCTACGAGAAATAAGGAAGTGTAAATGATACTTCCTTTCTTCTCTAGTTCAGAAAAACACTATGCATCTTACCATATGTCAACCTTCTCGTCGTAAAGTGCTTGCCTCCTTCCACTAGTTTCCCCCGGCCTTCTGAAGACTTCTGGGGCCATATAATCCAGAGTACCTAGCTGCGACATCGGTGGCTCCAGTCGTTGGTTGATAGCGAGCCCGAAGTCCCCAAGCTTCGCAATACTCTTGGACATGAAAAGATTCTCTGGCTTTATGTCTCGGTGAACGATTCCTTTTCCATGAAGAAGCTGAAGCGCTTGCAACAGAGGGAGCAAAACCTGCAAGAACTTTCCAGTCAATGACAGCTCTTCAGCAATGACTGAAGTAGTCAACGGGTTACCGTTTGTACAGCTCGCTCCTCATTCAAGCGACGAACACCCCGGGGACCATTTAAAAACTCCATCAAATCCCCTTGAGAGCACAGCTCCATCACAATGTACACATACTTCAAATCTTCAAAAGATCCATAAAGCTGGCAGATCGCCTCATGCCTAAAAGCAATGACGTTAACGAAAAATGAAGATTAACTTTTCAGACGAGCATAAGACCTAGTAGCCTTACCTCAATCCCTTAATAAGAGATGCCTCCCTTCGGATGTGAACAATTGTACCCTCGTTAATCTGGCTTCTTTCGTAAGCCTTAATAGCAACTCGTTGGTAAACGTTGGTAGCAATGGCAGAAACTATTATGCAGCCTCTGTACGGTCAGCACAAGCAAAGGTTATACCAGATGGCGGTAAAACGAAAACTCAAAACAAAAAGAAATGTACACGCACCGTCCTTTTGCAACCTCCTTCCTCTGGATGAAATCGTCGAGACATCTCCAGGGTCCACTTGAATACGCATCTCCAAGAATATTGATCTGCACGTCATCTCAAAACCAGTTAGGAAGTCTCGAAACCGGTTACGTCCTCATAATGTGTTCTCAAGGAGCGACACTGATGACTTGCCTTGCGTGGAACACGCTCTTTGATTCTCGACTCTTCCTTTCCGGAAGGAGTGATACTGACTGCCTGGAGGTCCTTGATGGTTCTGTGGCGGACCAAACACTCATGGTCAGGCCATTTACTACGGAAAAGGGTGAATGGATGCGAAACCGGATGCACTCACTTAGCCACCTGATCGTTGCTAGTCTGATCTTCGCCTGGTGAAGCAGAAATGTCCGGCTTCTTCACCAGGCGAGAGATCCAGCCCTGAACCGTAGCTCCTGCCTTAGCAATATCACTAGCAGGGCTAGTCGACATTCTCCAGCAGACGGCTTTTGAAGCTGAGGCGCCGTGTCGTTATATATGTCTTAGACTGGCTGGCGCCTCGCTTTGAAGAAAGTGCGAGCAGAACCACTGAATGTGGAAACAATAATTGCAATGACAGTGTATACCACAAAACTGTAAAAGAGCACGGTAAACGGACAGTATAAATTACCTCTACCAAGTTCCAACATTTTGTATTTAAAATCATGATTGTTTTTTACTGAAATATCCCGAACGTTTGTAGGAAATGGTTTCAGCTGTAGCCAGTTTCAGTTTTGGCAATTCCAAAGAAAAATGTATGTGTTTATTGCTGTGCTGTTTTGTAACAATTCGGAGAAGGGGAAGGGGTAAAGGGAAGGGTGTTGAATTTAGGGGTGTGGGGGGCAACCAAAAGTCTGGTATATGTCAACATATAAGCTGAACTAGGAAACGTCTTAGAATCTTTTAGAGTTTGGTATCTGTAATGCATTGTAACGGAAGACTAGAATTCTTGTGTGTAAAACAATATTGTTATGTTCTTACTCTAGGTTGTGTAGGGTCACACCTTAGAGGGTACAACCCAACTCTCTCGACATCCTTGTACCCCCTCCCTCTTACCTAATCGACACTCATTCCTCACCTAGCTAGTGATTCTAACATGGTATTAAGAGCACAATGCTCCTTATGACCGGATTTTTTTAAGGGCCCACCACTACTATTTCGATCTACTGCCCGAGTCGCGCCCCTAGGAGAAACGCGAAATTCGAAACCGTGCTCTAGGCGAGACGCAGGGCTCAGGTTTGCAGTGTAATTTACCCTTCTACACTGATTACAAGGGTGAAATTTTGGGTCTACACTGATGTGCTGGGGTATTTTTTTTATGAGTTAGTGTTACACTGATCTGTAAGTGTATCGTTCTAGGCCACACTGATGCCTTGGGGTAATTTTTTACTTATTGTAGATTACACTGAAGTGCGTACAGAGCACCCCTTCCCCTCCCCCCCCCCCCGTACTTGCGTTGGCCGCTGTCATGTGTCCGATTGGTCAGTTAGGAATAATTCCCTTGCCAGCACGACACGCAATCCCACATTGGCAGCAACTACAGTATTGCTCCCTGAACTAAGTCCTGGGAGTGGGACCACATTCAGATTGTCGGTGCTTGGAGATGCAAACCACGGTCCCCGACCGTGGGGCTCTGTGAGTTTTCGTCCCGAAGCTTTGCCGTGTGGGTTCGGCAAGCACAGCTAGCAGTATCGTGTGACACCGTCATTCCACCACCACCCCAAAGTCGCTCCTGTTTTAACCACTCAATCTAGCAGCTGAGCGACCACCACCTGGTAGCCATGGCTGCGCCTGGAGACGCTGCCAATCCCGATGATGGCGACCCCTCTTGGAGCTATAGGTCAAGGACTGGTCTCGATTTTTTGCGAGGCCATGTAACCGAATCTGCACCTCGCCCTTTGCCTGAGCCCTCGGATGACAGTGAGGGCTGGCAATTTCCTGTGCGCAAAGCTGTGTCACGGTCACCCCCGCCTGAGCAGGAGCTAGCTTCAGACGATGCTGAGACGCAACGTCCCACAAGCAATGAGGCGGACCTCGACGTTCACGGTGACGTGGAGACGACGGACATCGTCACCGAAGCCCCGGAGTCTTCTAATTCGGCAGCGCTGAAACGTCGCCGCTACACGCAGACAACGATTGGGTTCGGCGCCGGCACGCCGCTTGTGAAACCTCCTCCTCCGCCACCTCCCGCGGTCACTCCAGCTTCTGCCACGTCATGTCGCGCCACTACGAGGACGACGACTTCTACCAGGGGCTTGCCAAGATGATGAAGACCAAGGACTGGCCTCGCAGCTACCCCAACTTGGTGTCCATGTGGCAGGCGCTCGCGGTGATCCCGCTAAGCACCGTGGAGTGCGAGCGTGGATTCAGCCGGCAAAACGTCATCAAGAGCTGGATGCGCACGTCGTTTGGAGACGTCCGTCTGTCCAAGCTGATGACTCTCAACATGCTGAACTACGAGTAGAAATGGCCGGAGCTGGTGGAGATCTGGCGGAAGCAAAAGAAGAGAAGACCCGCGAAAACACCCGTCCCACACAAGCACTTCGCAGGAAACGGCAAGGCAGTTTTAGAGTCTGATAGCGAGGATGAGCATGCAAGTGATTGAATGATTATAAATAAATTGTCAAGTATGTGAGTTGAGTTAAATCTAAGAAGTACATATTAGTGGCAGTGTATGGAAAAATCTCACACTGGAGTTGCAGGGTAAATTTTTAAAACGGATATGTTACACTGCCCTGGTAGTGTAATGAAAAAGTTCACACTGCTCAGAAGGGTTTTTAAAAAAGCTACACTGCCAATCGTGAGTTAGCCAAATCCAAAACGAAGCCCTAGCGAGACGGTTCCTTTTTCTGCCCTAGACGCGATTTTCCTTCCTAGTCACGTGCAACCCCCCCTGACCGCGCCCTAGCTGCCAGTACAGCCCGCGTAGGCCCGTCGCGAAGCCCGTACAGCCCGCGTAGGCCCGTCGCGAAGCTCGTACAGCCTGCGTAGGCCCGTCGCGAAGCCCGTACAGCCCACGCCAGGCCGTCGCGCAGCCCGTACAGCCCACGTCAGGCCCGCACCCAGCTCGTAAAGCCCGCGCTAGGCCCGCACGCAGCCCTTACAGCCCGCGCCTGGCCCGCACGCGGCCCGTGTTCTTGCTGCACTCGCTGTTGCTGCTACTTGCTGCAGCTGCTCCTCCTTGCTACTGCTACTACAGCTAGCGCTACTCACTGCTGCTGCTACTGAAGCTAGTGCTGCTACAGCTAGTGCTACTGCTGCTACTGCTACTACGGCCCTTGCTACAACGGCTACTGACTAAAGCTACGGCTGCTCCAGCTAGTGCTACTGCTGCAGCTCCTACTCCAGCACTTGCTACAGCTAGTGCTACTACTGCAGCTCCTACTCCATGACTTGCTACAGCTACTATTGACTGAAGCTACTCGAGCTACAGCTAGTGCTACTGCTGCAGCTCCTACTCCACCACTTACTGCAACTGTATCTGACTGAAGCTACTGCTGCTACAGCTAGTAGTACTGCTACAGCTCCTTCTACTTCACTTGCTACAGCTAGTGCTATTACTGCAGCTCCTACTACTGCACTTGCTACAGCTAGTGCTACTGCTGCTCTGCCACTGTGTCCGAGCCGCGCCGCCCAGCCCGAGCTGTCACTGCTGCTGCTACTGCAACTACTACTGCTACAGCTAGTGCTACTCGGTCTACTGCTGCTGTTGCCCGAGCCGCCCTGCTATTGCTGCTACTGGAGGGAGTACTGCTGGGAGTGGTGGAGGTGCGGCCTCCCACCCCCACCAAACCGCCCTGCTGCTGTTACTACTGCTTCTGCTGCTACTTGTGCTACTGGAAGTGGAGGAGGTGCTGCTGGGAGTATAGGAGGTGCTGCTGGCGCTGTAGGAGCTGGAGGTGCTGGACCTACTCCTGACAGTCATTGTCTGTCATGGCCACTTCCGCGGCAGTCGCTGCGGCCAGGGGTGGACAGCAGCGGGCACTGCTTCTCCCGGACGACCCCACCCCTCGGCAGCTTCGTGAGTGGGTTATTCAGCGAGGTCGTCCTGGTGGTGGAGGTTATCGTTCTGTTAAGACCACTGCTCTTGGTGTTAGTGAGTCTGCTGCCACTCCAGGTGTTAGTCAGTCTGCTGCCATTCTAGGTGTTAGTGAGTCTGCTGCCACTCCAGGTGCTAGTGAGTTTGCTGCAGCTCTAGGTGCCCGTGAGTCTACCGACGCTCTAGATGCTAGTGCGTCTACTACCACAGGTCCTGCCTCAGCTGAGGTCTTGCACACTTTCACGCTTGACTCCGGCGCGTCATGTTGCTTCTTCCGTAATTGCATCATTGTCACACCACTCACAGCACCTGTCCCAGTCTCACTGGCTGACCCCTCTGGGGGCCCAGTGGTTGCGAGAGCCTCCACGGTCCTCCCTTGTCCAGCAGTCCCCTCCGGCTCTTTGTCAGGTCTCCACCTCCCCACGTTCTCGACGAACTTGGTGAGCAACGCTGCCATTTAGGATGTCTGGGTTGATACCTTTAATCCTAGAGGGCAGCGTGTGGCGATCTGTACATGCTCCCGGATTGGCCGTCACCTGGCTACGTTCACTCGACAGCCTGGGTCCAATCTGTACACACTGACCACTGCGTCTGCACATGTGGCTGAGTTAGGTCACGTAGCTACGTCGAGTCGAGCGTCTGCGTCAGGGCAGTTAGCTGCGTCTTGCTCGTGCCGAGTACTCACGCATGAGACTCAGCGCTGGCACCACCGTCTTGGTCACCCCTCCCTGCAGCGTCTGCGCCGCATGCACTCCCGGCTCCTGGTCACTGGCCTCCGTGAGACCCTGCCCCCCCTCCCGCGCTCACTTGCGCCGCCGTGCCTTCCTTGCGTCGAGGGGCGGCAGCGCGCCGCTCCTCACTCCTCCGAGTTTCCTCCGACCACTGCTCCTCTGCAGACTCTCCACATGGACGTGTGGGGCCTAGCCCCCGTTAGTGGAACGGACCAGGAGCGCTACTTCTAGCTAGTGGTTGACGACTACACACGCTACACCACAGTCTTCCCCTTGCGGCGCAAGGCGGATGTCAGTGGTGTCTTGATCCCCTGGATCCGTGCTACTCGTCACCAGCTGCGCGAGCGGTTTCGGCGGGACTTTCCAGTCCTGCGTCTGCACTCTGACAGGGGTGGTGAGTTCTCCTCTGGCGTCCTTGAGACGTTCTGCGAGGATGAGGGCATCGCCCAGTCGTTCACGCTTCCGGCCTCT